GATTGTCACAGGACAGAGCAGAGTTTAGGGCTGTTGTACATAGGGTCGCTATGAGTCTCAAGCGACTCAATGGCACATAACAACAACAACAAACAACATTGTTAATATCACATGAAAAGCAAAGTGGACTGGGGGAGGGAAGGGGGCAGAGAGGAAATGATGCAACAATAAATGAATTAAATTTTTTTTTAAAAAAAAAGGCCAACTGGCAAGGGTAGGGAGGAAATGTGCAACAATGAATGAATGAACAATTCCACTTTTCTGTAAACTTTCATTAAAGTCACAGGAAAAATAATTTTAGATTTTAAAAAATAAGCTGGGCCGTTTATAAAAAAAATCACATGAAAACAAAATATTGCTGAAGATCATCCAAAAGTGGCTAGAATAATCCACTGGGAGAGGACTGCCAGAAGCTCAAGTTAGATTTAGAAGAGGCTGTGGCATCAGAGAATCATTGCTGACGTCAGAGGGATCCTGGTAGAAAGCACAGAATACCAGAAGAATGTCTATTTGTGTTTTATTGTCTATGTAAAGGCATTTGATTGTGTGGATCATAAACTATGGCTATCACTGGGAAGAATGGGAGTCTTAGAACAAAGCTGTTGTCTGAACAGAGCAAGGAAATGGTTTAAAATTGGGAAAATTATACACCAGGATTGAATAGTTCCTCCATACTTCTTCAATCTGTACCCTGAAAAAATCACTGAAGAAGCAGAACTCTATGAAGTGGAGGATTGGAGGAAGACGCATCAACAGCCTACATTATGCAAAAGACTACCTTGCTTGCTGAAAGTAAGGAGGACTTGAAATGTTTACTGTAGAAAATCAAACACTACAACCTTCAACATGGATTGAATAGATGTCTCAGCTGAATGGATATTCAATGGATTGATGGATATCTCAACATCAAGAGAACAAAAACTTTCACCAATGGCCAATAAGCATCATCTGATAGATGAAGAAAAGATCAAAATTGCTAATGATTTCATTCTATTTAGATCCACAATCAACACACTGTTACCAGAAGTCAAGAGATCAGGAGCTGTATTCCATTGGAAAAGCACATGGTCAGGAACCACTCCAAATTACTGAGGAACAATGATGTCACTTTGAAGACTAAGGTTCACCTGATTCAGGCCATGGTCTTTTCAATACGTCTGTGAGCTGGACAATGAGTAAGGATGACAGAAGAAAAATTGATGCCTTTGAATTATGGTGTGGAGAAGAGTACTGAGCATTCCATGTTATTGTTGTTATTATGTGCCATCTTTTCGCCTGTGACTCATAGTGACCCAATGTACAACAGCTCTGAACTCTGCTCTGGCCTGAGTCAGTTTCACTGTCTCCGACACACCTACCCCCATTACCCCAGTAACTATGTCAATCCATCTCATCCTGGGTCTTCCTCTCCTGCACTTCACCTTTCCAAGCATGATGTCTTCCTCCAGGGACTGGTCCCTTCTTGCCGCTACCCAAACTATATGAGCAGACCTTCAAAATCCTTGTCTCCAAGGATCAGCCTACTTCACCCTCTCCGAGATAAACCTGTCTGTTCTCTTGGCAGTCCATGGTATGTCCAATACTCTTCTCAAATACCACAACTCAAAGGCATCAATTCTTCTTTTGTCCTCCTTAGTCACTGTCCAGCTCAGTGATGCATAGCAAGTAAGTACAAACAGGTATGTCTTGGAGAAGGTGTGCAGGCAGAGTGCTCCTTGGAAGCAAAGATCATGAAGCTTCATTTCACCTCACATACTCTGGGCAAGTTGCTAGGAGAGGCTCTCCTTGTAAAGAGACATGCTTGAAAAGGTGGAGGGTCAGTGAAGTAGGGGAAGACCCTCAGCAAGATGGATGGACATGAGGACTGCAGTAAAGAGCTCGGGTGTATCAGAAATCAGGATGACGATGCAGGGTACAGAACTGTTGTTTATAGAGTCGCTATGAGTCACACTTGATTTGACAGTGCCTAACAACAACAACAATTGTGGATGCTCATGGTAGATCCAAGTAAATTAAACCCTTGACAGCTTTGATCTTCACGCAATCTGTATATCAGAAACATCTTTTGGAAACACACCTGTAGCTAAGAGCACCTGTGAGTCCCAGGTATGTGGAAACACCCCCATATGGTTGTACACATACCATGAAGATCTCTAAGTAACGGGGCTGGGCACTGCATCATACATTCTGGGGGAGGAAAGAGTTGTTTAGAAACACACCTGTGATGGGGAAAGAGCCACTCTGTATAAAGAGTGTCGTTGTTCAGAGACCTCAAGCCCATTTCTTTGACTCTAGTGAACACATGGCACAGAGCAGAACTGCCCCATAGAGTTTTCTTGCTGTCATAATTACGAGAGCAGATGACTAGATCTTTCTCTTGCAGAGCCCCCTGTTGAGTTCACATGGTGAGTGTCCCACCTTCGAACGATCATCCTACCTGTAGAGAAATTTATCTGCAGGGAGGGGGGCAACTGCAGGAGGCTCATTTACGCTGAAGCACGTGGCTAGCAGGACTAGCAAGGCAGATAATTTCACCTGTAGCGTGGCCCACCTGTCAGAGACACAGCTGTGAGAAAACGTGTTTGGGTCGTCCTCGTGGGGAAAACACCTGTATCTTCTAGGTGGTAGACAACGGCGGGCGGCAGCACCTGTGAATCAGAACGTCTCTAGGGACGCTCCTTAGTCTGGCACGTCTGTTTGGAGCACACCTGTCTGGGCAGAGGCAAGTGGAAGGTGAACATGCCTTCACAGCTGCACCTTTAGATAAAGCGATGCTACTAAGAAGATAACCAAGGTTCTCCTTGGAGGTAAGGATTTTGAAGCTCCGTCTCACATACTTTGGGCATATGGCCAAGAGGGACCGATCCTTGGAGAAGGACATCATGGAAGGGTGGAGGGACAGCGGAGGAGAGGAAGACCTCGGATGAGGTGATTGGGGTAATGGGGTCAGGTGTGTCAGAGTCAGTGAGACTGGCTCAGGACAGAACAGGCTTCAGCGCTGTTGTACATAGGGTCGCTATGAGTCTCAGGCGACTCAACGACACATAACAACAACAGCAACTAAGAAGATCCTTCCTGGAAAGGCTCAGTGGAGGGATGAAGGTGAAGGGATCCCTTGTAGGGTGGTTAAGAATGCCAGGTCTGGTTAAATCCCTTATAGGGTTTTGGCGAGGGCGACGCAAGACGTGAGTAAAAGGCCTGGCATGTGTAACGCACTCAATAAATGTTAGCTATTGTTGTTAGAATTCGCTGTCAAGTGCTCGGGGCGCCCCACCCCCTAATGGTGAGTCTAGAAAGTGCGCCCGAAACTAGTGGGAGGTACTTTCGGCAGGTGCAGTGAGCGGCACACTGGGGTTCCGCTACTCGCTACTCTGTCCACCGCTCCAGCAGGACCCAGGACACTGGGACCCTCAGGCCGCTCAGGAGAGAGCAGGCAAGGCAACATCCAGACCACGCCGCGGCCCCTTTAAGACGGCTTGGTTTGCCCCGGGGCGGCAGAGCCGGAGTCTGGCCCAGATCAGCTAGGAGGCTCCGCCCAGGTGGGAGGAGGCGAGGTAGGCGGCCGCAAATCCTGGCAGCTCTGACCAATAGGAAGACGAGTTTGTAGCCGCGCCGCGCATTGATCTTCCGTTTTCCCGGCTGAGTGGGAAGACGAAAGTAGGCGCGCGGGCGGGGTGAAAGAATGGATGGCGCCCACCGCGTCTTGATCTTCTGTTTCTTTGACAGAATGGGGACTGTGAAATGGGCGGGCGGGCAGATAGAGGGGTGGATGTGCAGGCCCTTTTGAAATCATTTGAAAAAGGAGAGAAATTAAGTTCCTGAAGGGGAGTCGTTGGAAAAGGAGGTCAAGTGCGAAAGGGATGACCAGACTCAATCCTTGACAGGTCACTACCTTGCTCTCTCGAAGAAGGGGGTAAACCGAGGCACACCAACGCAGAACTTGGAAACCAGAACTGAGACCATGGCCCTCCGTATCTCCTCTCTCCAAAAGGAAACCCGGCGCTCCCTCCTCAGCGGTGCCATGCCAGGACGCCCACGACC